GGCCTACCCCTATATAGTCTTTTGACGAAAAAATATTTTTTTAGTGTGACGTTTGCAGGGGACGCTCTGGCGGATAAGTCAACGAAACCAAGGATTTTGATTATTTACATGTTTCGCTTTTATAGCTACCGAAGGTGCGGCGTGAGTTTCTTTTTCGGAATGGTATCTGTCTCCGCCGCATAACCTGGGTCTCAAAGTTCTTTGTCACGCAATCTCGTTTCGCTAAAGGCAGTAAAGGATTCGGGTCTGTTGTCAAATAATGTGAGGTAGGTCAAAATGTTTTCCTTTTTTATATATAGCTATAACGATTTGGTTCATGAGAAATGAGAGCATTTTAAAGAATAGCTACCGACACTATTAGCCGTTTTGTACGCATACGTACGGCAGAAGTAAACAAATACGCACCTAAAGGAAGTGTTGTAGTCAAGAAGTTCATAGCACACTTTCGAACAATAAAATTGCTTTTCCTTTTGAAAATTTACCACTGTGAAATCTAAAATCGTCTTTGGTGCTTAAACTGGCGGAAAAGTGGCGAATTTGCGCCAGAGTTTCAAGTGCTGTCTAAGTTCTCGCTTGTATTCATCACGTCGACAACTGCAAGTTCAGAGGTCGTAAATCACGCGAGTACCGTAAATGTTTTCAGTTCTAAAAACTCGCAGTTTCAATTGCCCCAGAATTTTATTTCACAGATTGATAGGGGAAACATTGCTCTTTTTCTGGAATACCATTTTTCTAATGAAAGCCATGTACCAGGAAGGGATTTTCGCCGTTGAAAAATGGCAAAATTGATGGTCGCGATAATGCTGATTTAGAGGGTAATTTTGAAAAAATATTAAAAAATCAGATTGAAATCTTTTGAAATTGTAACAACGTTTAGGTAGAAAGGAAGGATCACAAAATTGTTTAATATAAGAAAAGTCATGGTATTAGTTTCCGTTTCCATTTACGAAGCGAGGGTATCAAGCACATTTTTCGGTGGTTTGAAAGCCTCTCGACTGGTGAAAATTAAAAGAATTATTACTTTGGAAAATATGAAGTCAAACGAACTGAGTCTTGTATTTTCTAAAATAGTTTCCAGAGGGCTTTGTTGTGACAAAGTTTGGGGGATTTCGATTTTTCCATCTGGCACACCTATCCGTGGTATTTCTACAGAAAGTCGCTCTTAATATCCTGGATTAAAAATGTTTGGGTCAAAGGCATTCTTCACGGTGCTCGTTTTGCTGCACGTTGTCCAGTTTTCCGATGGAAAAACCTGGTGGAAACGCCATGATGGCTTTTGTAATAGAAAATCTAGCAAATGTGGTACTGAGTGCAACGTTAACTCGGATTGCCCACTGCATGGTGAGTGTTGGAGAGACAAGGACGTCTGCGGCACATCATCAGGCTATTGTAATGCAGCATCTAGCAACTGTGGTGCCAGGTGTAGTACAGTCAATGATTGTCCGGGTGGCGATTGCTGGAAAAAAATGGAGGACTGCGGCGGCACCCACACGGAAGATCACATTGTGGGAACATACCTCGGGATGTTGCCGGGAGGAAAATGGGCTCCTCTACTGCATGTTCTTTGTACCTAGCGAGGTGAATTATATGTTACTGGGTTTCGCTGACGATCCATCACAAACGGGCAATTTTGAGGTATTTTCTATGTGGGTAAGCATGGGTATTACCTACGATAGCATCGCTAGCGACAAAGCGGCGAATCCAGGCAGAAAGTATATGATCTCCATTGGTGGATCAGCAGACAGTGGAGGAATGTTCGGTATTGCCGGCGGCATGAGCGTCTCCCAGTGGGTAGACAATGCAGATAATTCTATTTCCAGTATAGTTAACAGTTATAATGCGGATGGCGTCGATATCCAGGTCAGTATTTTTTAGTCATTTTGTTCATTTTTGATTACACAGTCACCCTGCCGGTAAAGCCTTTCTTTTGCTTGCATGTTCGAGTTTGCCCTTCTCGTGAGAGTCTTGATGGGCGGCACTCGCGGCAACCAACCCAGGCTTAATAATCGTGCGCTTGCCACAGCGGGCTCATTTATGAACATGGTTTTATCAATAAACGGATAATTGCACTCCAAAAAAAACAGTTTGACGAGTCAACCTGCTCATATGTATCCCAAACGAATTAACAGCCATTATTTATGTATAGTAGGAAGTGTATTTTGTGTACTTGTAGTAGTATTTTATTGGTATAGATGTAGTAGTGTTTGTGCAAACAAATAAAGAAAAAATTAACAACAACAACAAAAAAAACGAATTAACAGGCTTTTTGTCGTTTAGAAACCTTGATTCTTGCTCAAAAGCTACTCTTGACTGTATTTAAACAAGGTAACGTGCTCGTGATTACTGACGTAAAAAAGACCACACGAGCAACCAAATTCGGCAAGGAACTCAGTGTCAAGGAAAACTTGCTCATAGTAAGGAGTTTTAATTTTGTCTTTTCTATCTTAGTTTGAAGGCGGAACGTCAGACCCCGATTTCTCCACGGCAATCACACTTCTTGCACAACGTTTCAAAGCCCGAGGCTTTTTAGTTTCAGTCGGACCTTTCCGCGGCTACGATGGAACATGGAATGACTACATCAGCCTGCCGTTGAACGACGTCGACTATGTATTTTGTCAGTTCTATGCCAAAAACTTGCAGTCAGTGGATAGCGTGGTGAGCGACATAACAAGTGCGGCAAACGATCTGGGTAGTTGGAGCAAGCTTATTGCCGGGTTTAACTCCAACAACAGAAACCCTAACCCCTCCACAGCATTGCAAGCCGTCTATCAACTCAAAAGCTCTCTCAAGGGAACATTCACATGGAGTGCTGAAGATTCTCAGTCTAACTCGCCTCCATATTGCATTGAGAAAAACTCCGCAAACATTTTGAACAACAACCAGCAGCCTGGGTCATGTAATTGGTAAAGAGACAGTGAACCCACGCGGCTTTGCAAAAGAGATGGCACACGAATCAAAACATTTATTTGGACACGCTGAGAGTTAAAGCGCGGTAGTTTTAGGGGTTAAGGTTAGAGTTAAGGTTAGGGTTAGGGTTGGGGTGTCATTTGCAAACACGCTAAGAATTCCATTTAGTGAACTTTATTTCATTTGCTTATTAATAATGATTTATTGCTTTGTTTATTGGACCCCCGAGGCCAGTATATTTCGGCTAGTTCGGTTTATGCCGCGGTCCAGGCACAAAAACAAATATAAAATTTCAAAAATCAGCAAGCACATACAAAATTTTAAAACAAAACCAAAAACATACGTTTTTCAGTTTTATTCCCTGAGTATTGGTTCTTCTCTTATACATGTGGCCTTTCCCTCCTACAGTCAGCTGTGAAAAGAGAATATGTTGTTACTGAGTTATTTTGCTTTTGCTGATAAAAATATGAAAAGCCAATGTAGAGATCATTTATTCTATACTCTTAACTTCTGCAAACAGTAAACAAGTCGTTGATATTTACTAGGCGTAAAACTATTTCTCAAGTCATAACTGTAGTAGATTTAAACCTTCAAGGTGTAATCAGCCTGTGCATGTGAGAAGCCGTTATCCACCTGTGTAACTTATTATTTCAAAGCAAGCTTAGTTTCCACCAACAATCTTTCAAGAATGATTGCTGTATCCTGAAATCTGACTCGTTCAAATCTATGTTATCTGCATTGCTTGGCTAGATCAGGCTTAAAATCATGTTCTTGTGAAATTTTCTTTGGTTATCTCTTGTCTTACACGCGGTGTAGTCTTGGATTAAACCTCTACATTGGAGCAAAGTTCTGTGTGCACTATTTGTTGTGTCAAGGGTGTATAAAAGATCTGAGGGTTGTCCAATACTCAGACAAATTTCTGGAAGGCATTGTAATGTCTTGTATTTTCTTTACATTACAATCCTATACAAAAGCACAACAATAAGGAACGAAGCATCAATGCATAAATTTGCCGGAGTATTGGTCAGGAAAATTTAAGAGATCCCGACCTTCCCGGAGCCAGCCAGTGCTCCTCCAGGATAAAGACCTTTTCAAGATAACTTTTTAGAGGTTATCTCCCTTTAGTCATTTGTGAAAGCAAAACCTGTTTTCATACCCCCCCCCCCTTTTTTTGATATTTTTACAGTTCTTTGTTATATTACGCTTTTGTTACAATTTTGTCATGTTTTTGGCCCAGGGTAGCTAATCGAACAAAACCGAACCAAAAATCGATCGAGCTTAATCGAACCTAATCGGTCGGATTGTTGTTCGATTGGTTCGGTAATCGAACATAATCGAACTGGAACTTTTCGGTGAGTTCGACTACTGAACTCAATCGACGCGACTAGTTCTATTTAATGTTCGGCATAAAGACAAAACGCATCCAGTTTCAATTGAATAGGAAAGATCTCCCTCTACTGTTTATGTAAAGCAGTTTCAAAACAAAAATATTTCAATTAAACCAAAATGAACTAAAAACTTTATTGTTAAATTAAATTGATTCGAAATCGATAAATTCAAAATTGATACCCGGCTGTGAAACGTGACTGCATGGACTGCAGTAAAACCTTAAAGCATACACAAGCAAAGTTTGTCTTGATAATATATTCGTACATAATAACAGGCAGTGCTTAACGACGGTAACGGACATAAGACTTATACTTCAACTTTGTCGGTCAATGGCTAAAGCACAGGCACCAGTTCAGGTTGCAAATCGGTTCAAGTTTTTGTCAGTTATCTTTAGAGCTGGACCCCTATCGACCCTTTTCTTCTTAATAACAAACTTTAAACGACACCGAAGGCAAAAGAGAACTAGTGGTAGCTATTAACCATCTTCTCCAGAATTATTAATTTCACTTGATCAACCGGTGACGTAAACATTACATTTCTCCTTACCTCTAGTTGGAAACATAACATCAACAAACACACAAACAAAAGAAATATAGTCTTACTTTACTAATGAGAGAAAACTGAGAGGTATGCAGCAAAATGAATACTAGTAGGTCCAATAAGACTGACATTCTGTAAAACGTCCTGACCTAGTGTAAAGTTCTCTGAACATCAATTAAATTTAATCCTAGATGTTCTTGAACTGTCTTAATTAAAACTGTATAACGTGAGTTCAACAAACAATGTCTGTAGCCACATTTCTTAAATCGGTCTCCTGCGAAGTTTGGGCACACGCACAGACCTCCTCAGTGTGGGTTCAGCTTGAGCACTTGTACTTGAGTTGGTGTTCACCTATACTGGGTCTGTACTTGAGTTGGTGTCAACTACACTGGGTCTGCACTTGAGTTAGTGTCGACTTACACTGGATCTACACTTGAGTTGGTGTCAACTGATCCTGGGTCTGCACAGGAGTTGATGTCAACCGATACTGGGTGTGCACTTTTGTTGGTGTCGACTGATACTGGCTCTGCACTCGAGTTGATGTCAACTGATACTGGCTCTGCACTTGAGTTGGTGTCAGGTGATACTGGGTCTGCACTTGAGTTGGTGTAAGGTGATATTGGGTCTGCATTTGAGTTGGTGTCAGGTGATACTGGGTCTGCATTTGAGTTGGTGTCAGGTGATGCTGGGTCTGCACTTGAGTTGGTGTCAGGTGATGCTGGGTCTGCACTCGAGTTGGTGTCAACTGATACTGGGTCTGCACTTAAGTTGGTATCAACTGATCTTGGGTCTGCACACGAGTTGGTGTCCACTGAAACTGGGTCTGCACTTGAACTGGTATCAACTGATACTGGGTCTGCACTTGAGTTGGTGTCAGGTGATGCTGGGTCTGCACTTCAGTTGGTGTCAACTGATACTGGGTCTGCGTAGTCGTGGTCAAGCTTCTTGAAGTGGAGGAATTACGAGTCACCTTCCGATCACCTCCTTCAGCTTTCAGCACTGACTGTGTTCAGTTCGTTGCTTTTGCCAACACAATACCTCCTGCTGGTTTCAAACCTGTTTCGCATGGAAAAGCAACAGGGTAGGGCAGGGTTGGTCTTCCAAAAAGGGTAGTGGCAGGACAAACACCAGTAGTACAATGAGAAGTTGCTCGATAGTTTCGTAGGGACTGGTACATCTGTTGTCTCCCGTTACAAGTGCGGATCGGACCACCTTCCCAAATGTTTTCATGAAGCGTTCCTCTTCGCCATTTGCTTTTGGCCATGGAGGAGTAATTTTACAGAGTTTTCAAACCAAGAATTCGTGACATTCAAGGGAGGACCGTTTTCAGACTTGACAACTTGAGGCACACCATAAGCGGCAAATATGCGAACTAACTTAGGAAGGACTGCTTTCGCAGAAGTCGGGTGCACAGTCTCAACTTAGGGAATCTTGAGTGATCATCAATCACTACTAGAACATAACATGCTTCTTTACAAAAGTCAATGCTCACAAGGTTGCCAAGGACCATCAGGCGAGGGGTCATGCTCAAAGGTTCCCAGGAGGGTTTTGGTGTAGCAATCTGACACGTAAATCACTTCTTTACGACTTGGTCAACAGCGCGCAGCATCTGTCTTTAGAAACCAGACTTTGAATCCCAACAAACTACGGGTCTTGATCATGACTAAGCCTTGATAACCCTCATGAGCCAGTTCAATGACACGTTTTTGATAAGAGCACCAGGAATAGCAATTCGATTTCCACGAAGGATGTTACCAACCACAAAGGTAAGTTCATTCCGAACATTTGTAAAGATCTTAAGGGTATACCAACTTCATTCACTTCCAGGTTATTCCAATGGCCATTTGAGATAAGACGCATCAGTTCCTTTAGAGTGGCATCTTGTGATGTAGCCTTAATAATGTCATCTTTGCCTAGTGCCTTGCCTACTAAGCTTTAAACGTCATCGCGTATGAATGAAGGTTTTGATTTTTGATTTTTTGTGTCATGACAAAGTTAACATACTGCCCTACAGACTCAGCAATCAGGTCACACTGAGTGGCAGCTCGAAAATGTCTTGATATGTAATCAGGTGGATTAAAATCACCTCTTGAGTACCGCACTTCGAAGTCAAATGACTACAACTTCAAACGCCAGTTTACAATTCTTGATGGAGCTTAAGAAGTAGCACTGTAAAAGATATGCAAAATGGGTTGTGGTCTGTTATCACCTCAAAGTGGCTTCCTAGCAAATACATCGCAAGTGATGGCAACCCTAAGTGATGGCCGATGCTTCTCGCTCAATTTGGGAGTAGCGCAACGCTGGAGAGAGCTTTACTGGCATAGGAGATCACACACTGTGTGTCAACACAGCACCAAAGCCCAGTAGACTGGCATCCACGAACAGAATAGTTTTCTTGTGAGGATCAAAGTAAGCAATGAGTTCATCAGAGGTGAGATTACACTTCAGCTGGTCTTGTGCCTTTTGGTGACCTCTTGCCACTTTAACTTGACGCCTTTGTGAAGTCACGCAAGGCAGCACCGAGGTCTGAATAATTACGGATAAAACGCGAGACATAGTTCGTCGTGTCAAGAAGGCTTCTGACATCACTTACAGATCGGTTCGGCTTGTTTGATTGCTTCCTAAAGACCATTCCTAAGAACTCAATTTGAGGCATGAAGAACTGGCATTTGTCTTTGCGAAGAGTGCGGTTCAGCTCTTGGAAGCGAGACCGCACTGCATGGATAGGAGGGCCTCGTCATGTTCCTGAACATTCACTCTAAGGATTATGACATCATCGCTAATGTTCTTAACATTTGGAATGTCACTAATGGCAGAGACGATCACATTCTGGAACTTTAAAGCAGCGGCGTTGATGCCTGAACGAAGCCACTTGTACCTGAATAAGCCAAGCAGAGTAGAGAATTTTGTAATGTGCCTCGAGTCAGGGTGCAACAGCAACTGATGATAGCCCTGATTTAGATCTAATTTGCTAAACACAAGTAGCACCATTCAGATCATGCATCTCTTCATCAAGGGTAGGCAGCATCTCACTCTCTGGAGATAGCGTTGTTTGCCTCACGCATGTCCAC